ATATTTTGAAAGTACTTTATTTTCTGTGTGATTTTTGTGTGATTTGTATATTTGTATTTGTATTTTTTATGCACCAATTGCATCAGGACACATTCCTAGTAGGTATAAAAACCTACTTGGCAAAAAACATAATTCTAATTCTGATTCTGATAAAAGGGTGTCCTGGTGGCTAAAGCTGGCCACACACTGTACAATTTTAGAAATGCAATGTTGTTAATTCCAGTTTCTGCTATATGACTAAAAATGGGGAAGTGACCCTTTTAAGGGGAAAACTCATGTATGTTCTACAATCAGAAAGGCCTCTACAGATCCTCTGGACCTACACTCACACTGTACTCACACTTTTATCTTTCAGCTCCCCTTGACAAGCTTGACAGAACCTGAAAAAAAAAAAATATATATAGGTTTTAGATACAATCTTTGTGTGAGTGTGTGTATGTGTGTGTGTGTGTATGTATGTGTGAGTGTATAACAGCCACCTGTCTTCTTGAAGCTCCTCCACAGGACCCTCTATAAAGGCTTGGAGGGGGAAGAGGTGGTGAAAGGATCTGGCGAGATGGGGGGCCAACACCAGAGTCAAACCTAGGAGACAACACACCACACACATACCAGTCAGGGCTATGGTACTTCTATTGGTTTGAACACACAGCACTTTTACTGATGGAATGAAATCCTCCCATCACACATACCACAGACTTTACACTCCACGGGAAGCTCTGTGTACTTGGCATGGCACTGCGGACAAAAGTATCCTCCCAGAGACAGACCTGGACCACTGCTGCTGTCCAGATGACTAGGAAATAACACACCAGGAGCAATACATGACAAAGAATATTCCCTCTAGTACACAGCGGCTGCTCACAGTGTACTAGAGTGCCGACAAGGTTTAAATCATGTTTTTTTTTTTTTTTTTTACTTACGCCATGCTGAATGAAGGCTTGGCATCCTGGTCAGTGGGAGAGGCGATGGTGTGCTGTGGAAAACCTGAGCAAACACAGGATTCCAGTTAGGTGTGTCTAAGACGAATATTCAGTAAATACGTTTATGCTTATTGTGATTTAAGCATTTAAAATAGACCTTTTTCACAGCAGCCAATTTGACATGAAATAGTAGCGTAAACACTGGTGTTACAAATGATACCAATTCTGCTCAACTTTATTTAGTGCATCAGAGCCTTTCCAATGAGCCAACATGCACAACAGCAGCACCCTGACTCTGTTTGAGC